TCGCCTCCTTGCTGTGCAGTTACAGAGATGTCCTTCAAGATGGCTTTGTTTGATTGGTTTCTGGGTCACAGGCTGGAGAACGGAGGAGCGAGGAAACAAGGAAGCATCATTTTGAGTTTTGAGAAGCTCAACATCTTTGCATTTCGTATGTTTATGTCCTGGTTGGATCTGTTCCTTGTGCCTTATTCCTAATATAAGACACTTTTATCTGAAAGATCTTACAGTGTAATATCCTGTTAACTGTTGAGCTTTTACACTTATTGTCACGGCTCGAAAGAACAGTCGTAGATTCAATAGCAAGTGAATACTGGTGTTTATTAAACACAAGGTAGTAGAAAACAGTACAGTAGATGACAGGCAGGCGGATGAACCCAGGCTTGGTAACACAGGACTCCGTGGGCAGACGGCGAAACAGGAAACAGCAGAACCTTCTCAGAACAGGCCAGAATCCATAGATCAGGAACAGAATGGATACAGCAGACACTTCTCAGAACAGGCCAGAATCCATAGATCAGGAAAAGAATGGATACAGCAGACGCTTCTCAGAACAGGCCAGAATCCATAGATCAGGAACAGAATGGATACAGCAGACGCTTCTCAGAACAAGGCAGAATCCATAGATCAGGAACAGACTGGATACAGCAGACGCTTCTCAGAACAAGGCAGAATCCACAGACCAGGAACAGAATGGATACAGCAGACGCTTCTCAGAACAAGGCAGAATCCATAGATCAGGAACAGACTGGATACAGCAGACGCTTTTCAGAACAAGGCAGAATCCATAGATCAGGAACAGACTGGATACAGCAGACGCTTCTCAGAACAGACTGGATACAGCAGACGCTTCTCAGAACAAGGCAGAATCCATAGACCAGGAACAGAATGGATACAGTAGACGGTTCTCAGAACAAGGCAGAATCCATAGATCAGGAACAGACTGGATACAGCAGACACTTCTCAGAATAAGGCAGAATCCATAGACCAGGAACAGACTGGATACAGTAGACGGTTCTCAGAACAAGGCAGAATCCATAGACCAGGAACAGACTGGATACAGTAGACGGTTCTCAGAACAAGGCAGAATCCACAGACCAGGAACAGAATGGATACAGTAGACGGTTCTCAGAACAAGGCAGAATCCATAGATCAGGAACAGAATGGATACAGCAGACGCTTCTCAGAACAAGGCAGAATCCATAGATCAGGAACAGAATGGATACAGCAGACACTTCTCAGAACAAGGCAGAATCCATAGATCTGGAACAGAATGGATACAGCAGACGCTTCTCAGAACAAGGCAGAATCCATAGATCAGGAACAGACTGGATACAGCAGACACTTCTCAGAACAAGGCAGAATCCATAGACCAGGAACAGACTGGATACAGCAGACGCTTCTCAGAACAAGGCAGAATAAACACATCAGGAACAGACTGGATACAGCAGACGCTTTTCAGAACAAGGCAGAATCCACTGACCAGGAACAGAATGGATACAGCAGACGCTTCTCAGAACAAGGCAGAATCCATAGATCAGGAACAGAATGGATACAGCAGACACTTCTCAGAACAAGGCAGAATCCATAGATCAGGAACAGAATGGATACAGCAGACGCTTCTCAGAACAAGGCAGAATCCATAGATCAGGAACAGAATGGATACAGCAGACACTTCTCAGAACAAGGCAGAATCCATAGATCAGGAACAGAATGGATACAGTAGACGCTTCTCAGAACAAGGCAGAATCCACTGACCAGGAACAGAATGGATACAGCAGACGCTTTTCAGAACAAGGCAGAATCCATAGATCAGGAACAGAATGGATACAGCAGACACTTCTCAGAACAAGGCAGAATCCATAGATCAGGAACAGAATGGATACAGCAGACGCTTCTCAGAACAAGGCAGAATCCACAGACCAGGAACAGAATGGATACAGCAGACGCTTCTCAGAACAAGGCAGAATCCATAGATCAGGAACAGAATGGATACAGCAGACACTTCTCAGAAAATGGCAGAATCCATAGATCAGGAACAGAATGGATACAGTAGACGCTTCTCAGAACAAGGCAGAATCCATAGATCAGGAACAGAATGGATACAGCAGACGCTTCTCAGAACAAGGCAGAATCCACAGACCAGGAACAGAATGGATACAGCAGACGCTTCTCAGAACAAGGCAGAATCCATAGATCAGGAACAGACTGGATACAGCAGACACTTCTCAGAACAAGGCAGAATCCACAGACCAGGAACAGAATGGATACAGCAGACGCTTCTCAGAACAAGGCAGAATCCACAGACCAGGAACAGAATGGATACAGCAGACGCTTCTCAGAACAAGGCAGAATCCATAGATCAGGAACAGACTGGATACAGCAGACGCTTCTCAGAACAAGGCAGAATCCACAGACCAGGAACAGAATGGATACAGCAGACACTTCTCAGAACATGGCAGAATCCATAGATCAGGAACAGACTGGATACAGCAGACGCTTCTCAGAACAAGGAAGAATCCATAGATCAGGAACAGACTGGATACAGCAGACACTTCTCAGAACAAGGCAGAATCCATAGACCAGGAACAGAATGGATACAGCAGACACTTCTCAGAACAAGGCAGAATCAACACATCAGGAAAACAGACACTGGGGCGAGGAGAAGGACAGTGAGCAAGCCGTGAACCTCAACAACCATCTGACAAAGACCAGGCAACATGACAAACAATATATAGGACATTCTCATTCAAAACAGCTGGCGCTGATCAGCTCAGATAACGCGGAGATAACGAGCCGTGCTGATGAGCCGCGCCCATTCACACAACACGCACACACCTAGCAAGGGCGAGGCAATGAATCCAGGAACCGTGACACTTATCATATGTTTTGTAAATCATCATAAGTTAGGTATTATTAGAAAGCTTAAACACTTAAAATTCATCCTGTGGAAACATTTTGTTAGTTGACATGTAGTTACAAAGTTACTTATAGTTAGTAGAATCCATTGAAATAAAGTGTTACTGTTTTTTGTTCGGCATAAGTTTAATAAAATGATAAACTGCAGTACTTTTTTGGCATATTCAAAAAAATCTACAGTGATAAAGCATGAGTAACATCAAATATACATACACAAAATATTATAAAAATAATTTGAATAAGTAATGTCATTTGTTTGTGAGGTTGTGTGTTATATATTGTGCACTGGATGGTGCTGTCCCACTTCTTAAATGTGTTGAATGGTCAGTTGAGCAACAAGATCACAGAACATCTCATTTTTCTGCAGTTAATAACACTAGTTGTTTAATTAAATATGAGTAAATATCTGTAAGATTACTTACTGACAGCAGGTTGAAAATTTGTCAAAAAAGGACCAATCAATGTTGGGTGTGCATATACAAAGTTCTGCTTAATTGTAATTTCACAGACGTCACACCACGCCGAGACGAAGCTTTGGGAGATACATCAGTGTCTACTCCAGGTTACTGGACTCAGACCAGTGCCACACGGACCAGTGTCACATGGAGCCCAGACGACACTTCTGCACACATGACCAGATCATCAGGTTAGAAAGCCTCTTTAGAATATAAATCATTTGTATTTATTTTGAGTTTGAGTTTAGTTCGACTTCTTTTTTCATTTACACTGTCCTGTAGAATTTAGTACCAATCCCAATTTGCAAGCAGTTCTGAGTGCTTTTTCTGCGTATTTCAGCGTGTTTCGTTGTGTTCTGCGTGTTTCGGTGTGTTTCGTTTTTTTCTGCGTGTTTTGGTGTGTTCTGCGTGTTTCGGTGTGTTCTGTGTATTCAGTTGGAGAGGAAGGGCCTGAGCACAGGAAGTGATCAGCAAATCCTTCTCTCCAAACTGAATTCAAATACTGGAGGAAGGGGTTGACCACAGAACTCATCATCCAGCTCCACCAGTGCCAGTACTCCACCAGGATCTATCTGTTGTATCCTTCCTGTATTGTAATTATATTCCATTTTTACTTATATTTCGGGGTCAAGCTATCCAATGGCACCAACTTAGGAAGTGGTTTGAAGGCTATTATATAATTTATAACTCAAAGTAATCTTAAACATACCTTTCAGAATTACTTAAATGAGAGATTACAAAATGAATGAGTGAAAAGATCGAAGCGAAATGAAATATTAATTATTCAGCAATTTTCTGTAAATAACAAAAAGGATTAGAGGGCTAAACGTCCTACGTATGACCCTGGTAACATAGTTCAATTTGTTTCTGTAAGATAAATGCTCCAGCTGCCTCATTAATTCTTTGGTTCTCCTCTCAGCTGTGAGTGACCCCTGTGCTGAGCTCAGCTGCACTGAAGATGAATGGTGTGGAGAGAAACATGGTGTTTACGGCTGTTTCTGTAACGAGAATCGTCGGAGACCTGACTCAGACTCTTTTGGTTGGACTCAGTCCTCAACAACAATTAAAATCTAAGTTTGGTGTAATTAACCACATTTGTTTTATTAAAGCTACTTAGTTGTTCTTACTCTTTTTTTCCCTGTCAGATTTCTCTGAGGTTTGTGAAAGCAGCTCTGGATCCATATCTTTGTCTCGTTGTCAGCTCTTTGAGGCTGGTTTTCCAGCTGACAGCTTACACCTCAATGACCCCAGCTGCACAGGGACACTCCAGAAGGGCAGAGTGGAGTTCCATTTCGACAACAATGACCACATTTGTGGTACAACTCTTCTGGTAGGAGTTATTATAAATACCATAATAAACACACTCAGCTCTCACATCTCGATGTACAAAAAAATGTCTCAAAAACATTGAAGTACAACTAAGGAAAAAGTACAACTAAGCCTTTTTTAAATCAAACAAATTGTTTAAATCAGACAATGGTTTTTGTTTTGTTTTTTTAGTTGACTGTGTTTTGCTCTTAATATTGTAGTTTAATGCGAGCTGCTCTTAAAAATGTCTTAAAATTTCTTGTAGACAATATCTTGAATCACATTCAAAATGTCAAACTATTATGTCTCTGGTCCATAGGCCAATGGCACCCACTTCATTTATGAGAACTTTATTTTCGGAGGTCTGGGCTCGACCAATGTTCCCATCAACAGGAAGAAAACTCTGAAGCTGAATTTCTGCTGTATATACCCCCAAACCCTAACAGTTTCTATGAATATGGAAATCAATCCACTGGAGAGGTAGGACTTTAGTGTTTGGACTCCGTTTGTGTCACTTTATTTAACAGAAAAAAACAGGTTTTATATTGTAGGGACAAGAATCTTTTCGCCCCTCCCGGTTTTCGAGATCTCCACCCAGAACCGCTTCTCCCCTCTTCGTGAAACGGAACGCGATGCTGTGATCATCGGCGATTCCACGGTCCGACACGTCCACGCTACGTTAGGTAAAAGTAAGGTGCACACTCATTGCTTTCCTGGTGCTCGTGTTCTCGATATCACTGCGCGGGTAACTGAGATCTTGAACGGTGACGAGCGCGTCGGAGCTGTTGTGCTGCACGCGGGAGCTAACGACACTAGGCTGCGACAGACGGAGGTTCTGAAGAAAGACTTCAGGAGCCTTATTGATACGGTACGCAGAACATCGCCTGAAACATCGATTATTGTGTCTGGACCGCTTCCTACGTACCGAAAAGGGCATGAAAAGTTCAGTAGATTATTCGCGCTAAATGAATGGTTATTGTCATGGTGCAATGAGGAGAAACTGCTCTTTGTAAATAATTGGAATCTGTTTTGGGAGCGACCGAGGCTCTTCCGTCCTGATGGCTTACACCCAAGTAGAATCGGGGCAGATCTTCTGTCGGATAACATCTCCAAGATGTTAAAGACCATTTGACTAGTAACCAAAAATCCAAATCACAGTCTCTACTGCACCAATTTAATTGATATTAATACTAGTGTAGAACATTGCATAGAAACTGTGTCTATTCCTCGTTTATTGAGATCAAATAATAAATCTACCGCGGGATCAAGAAAAAATCGAATTGTTATTAAAACAAAAAATCTCGCTATTAGTGAACAAAAACAATTTCTAAAGCTAGGTCTTCTAAACATTAGATCGCTCACACCTAAGGCGGTTATTGTAAACGAAATGGTCACATATAATAATTTCGAAGTTCTGTGTCTTACTGAAACCTGGCTTAAACCAAATGATTATTTCGGTCTAAATGAGTCTACTCCGCCAGGATACTGTTATAAGCCTGAGCCCCGTCTGATCGGTCGTGGCGGCGGTGTTGCAACAATCTACAGAGATATCCTTAATGTTACTCAGAAAACTCGTCATAGGTTTAATTCATTTGAAGTACTTGTGTTAAATGTTACGCTCTTAGATGTAAGAAAAAAATCCCTATTATCTCTAGCATTGGCTACCGTATATAGACCTCCAGGGCCTTACGCCGATTTCCTAAAAGAGTTTGCAGACTTTCTATCAGATCTATTGGTCAATGTCGATAAAGCATTAATTGTTGGAGATTTTAACATACACGTAGATAATTCAAATGATGCGTTAGGGGCTGCGTTCACAGATTTATTAAACTCCTTCGGGGTCTAGCAAAACGTCACCGGACCAACTCATCGTCTTAATCATACACTCGATTTAATTATATCATACGGAACCGATCCAACCGATATAGATATCATTCCACAAAGTGATGATGTCACTGACCACTACATGGTAACTTGCATATTACGTACTGCTGTAATATGTCATGCTGCGCCACGTTATCGACCAGGTAGAACAATCCTTCCATCCACCATAGATCATTTCTCAAATAGCTTATCTGATCTGACTCAGCTGCTGCCTGAACCCAAACAAACAGATGAACTAGACGAATTAACTAGCACTATGTGCTCCATTCTCTCTAGAACATTGGATACTGTTGCACCCATTAGATTGAAAAAGGTCAGAGAAAAAAGTATAGCACCATGGTACAATAATACTATGTATGTTTTAAAGAGAGAGACCCGTAATTTAGAGCGTAAATGGAAAAAAACTAATTTAGAGGTCTTTAGATTCGCGTGGAAAGACAGTATGTCACGTTATAAAAAGGCTCTTAAAACGGCCAGGGCTGAGCATCTCCGCAAACTATTAGAAAACAACCGAAATAATCCAAGGTTTTTATTTAATACCGTGGCTAGACTAACAAATAAACAGACGTCGCCTGAACAAAATACCTCTTTACAGTTTAGTAGTAATGAATTCATGAACTTCTTCACCAAGAAAATTTAAAGCATCAGAACCACAATCGTAAACGCTCAATCTTTGCTCGTGCCTTGTAATTCAGCCTCGATTATTACCCCGCGAGAACAATTACAATGCTTTACGACCATAGAACAAAAAGAGTTAAATAAACGTATCGCTTCATCTAAAACAACAACATGCTTATTAGATCCTATACCAACTAAACTATTGAAAGAAGTGTTACCTATAGTGGAAGAACCTCTTCTCAATATCATTAACTCGTCTTTATCTTTAGGTCATGTTCCAAGAACATTCAAGCTGGCAGTAATAAAACCTCTTATTAAGAAACCACAATTAGACCCAAATAACCTAGCGAACTACAGACCCATTTCAAATCTTCCATTTATGTCTAAAATATTAGAAAAAGTTCGCACAAGTGTTCGCACAACTCGGCTCTTTCTTGCAAGAAAGCGACATCTATGAAAAGTTTCAGTCTGGATTCAGGCCGCATCATAGCACTGAAACTGCACTTGTTAGAATCACAAATGATTTACTTTTAGCTTCGGAAAAAGGCTGTATCTCAGTACTAGTTTTACTCGATCTTAGCGCTGCGTTCGACACTATAGATCACACAATACTCTTAGATCGACTACAAAATTACACTGGTGTTCAAGGACAAGCATTAAGCTGGTTCAGGTCATACTTATCTGACCGCTACCATTTCGTCTACTTAAATGGAGAAAAATCGATCATAACTTCGGCAAACTATGGAGTGCCGCAGGGATCTGTGTTAGGCCCTCTATTATTCTCAATATATATGCTGCCACTTGGTAATATTCTAAGGAAACATGGAATTAGTTTCCATTGTTATGCTGATGACACTCAAATATATATTTCATCACGGCCAGATGAAAACGCTAAATTATCCAAATTGACAGATTGTGTTAAAGATATAAAAGATTGGATGACGCGTAATTTTCTTTTATTAAATCCAGACAAGACAGAGGTAATACTTATCGGTTCTAAAAACCGTCCACAAAACCTTTCACAGCACGACTTTAACATATTAGGATGCCCTGTTACTTTATCCGCTACAGTAAAAGACCTGGGTGTTACATTAGACTGCAACCTTTCTTTTGAAAAGCATATTTCATATGTTACAAAAACAGCCTTTTTCCACCTTAGAAACATTGCTAAGCTACGTAATATGCTATCAGTCTCCGATGCAGAAAAGTAAGTTCATGCATTCATGACCTCGAGACTATATTACTGTAATGCTTTATTAGCTGGTTGTCCTGCATCTTCAATAAACAAGCTACAGTTAGTCCAAAATGCAGCCGCTAGAGTTCTTACTAGGTCAAGAAAATATGATCATATAACACCGATTCTATCATCACTTCATTGGTTACCTATAAAGTTCCGTATTAATTACAAGGTATTGCTTTTGACCTATAAAGCTCTAAATGGTTTAGCTCCAGTCTATTTAACGGATCTTCTATCGCCCTATAATCCATCGCGCTCTTTAAGATCACTAAATTTGAGGCTTCTGGTCATTCCTAGGATATCTAAGTCCACCAAAGGAGGGAGCGCATTTTCACATTTAGCTCCAAAACTCTGGAATAGCCTTCCTGATATTGTTCGTTGCTCAGACTCGCTCTCCCAGTTTAAAACTAGACTAAAGATGCATCTTTTTAGTCAGGCATTCATATAAAATTTTTATCTTACAGTTACTGTATATTCGGCCTCTAATTCATAAATGCCAGAGGAGAACTGGCCCCCACTGAGCCTGGGTTTTCCCAAGGTTTTTTTTTCTCCGTCGGGTCATCTGATGGAGTTTTAGGACACCATCGGGTCACTTGACGGAGTTTTTCGGTTCCTTGCCACTGTTGCCTTTGGCTTGCTTAGTTTGGGGATTTTCAAATTAAATGACCCATCATACCACTGATCAGCTCTACCAAACTTGGATGTATTTTTTCCAGTAATAAACAAACACTCTTAGGTTGTTTTGATTGATACTGTGAAGCAGCTTTGATACAATCTGTATTGTGAAAAGCGCTATATAAATATATTTGACTTGACTTGTAATTTTCTGTAAACCGAGAGCATGTATACAACTGTATAGCTCTAAAATAGAGTCATTTCATGAATACACATACATTTACATGGACACTTTTTGATTCAATCGTAATAAAATCATCCGATTGATGAATCTGAACGTAGTGTTTCCATGAACGCTAAATAAAGTGCACATGAACTGCTTATATTTATCAAGCAGTAAAAAGGCCCCTTTCCGAGCTAAAAACAAGTCGTCTGTGGATGAGAGTCTGAAACAAGGACGGATGGGATGTTGTCGTGCTCCACTTCACAAACAATGAGTGGAAGGAACAGTGTAGAGTGACACAACAGTAATTTATGGCACTTCATTCAACAATAGCAACAGCTCGTTCCTCACTTCCTCACTTCAAATGTCAATATGCAATTTCTTCGTCACTGTGCAGTACTTTCTAGTTTTGGTTTTAATCCGAACAAGTGTTTACATGTCCTCTCAATCTAATTGGAAAAGATTTAAACCAGCCTTTGAAGTGATTACATGTGACTATTTTATTTTGACCGCGCTAGTAGTCCGATTACAATCAGATTATTAGGGTCTATGTAAACGCAGCTAATGTATAAATACACTGACAGCATGTATTCTACTGTATACTTCATTGTCATTGAATTGATACAGTATGCATCAGTATGTATAATTTTTCCACACATCTACCCCACTGTTTTTTCAACAGCATTGTCCACAAGACGCTTCCTGCGGGTCAAGGGAGATATCAGGTCAGGATGGTCCCATATCAGGATGCTGAGTTTTCCCAGCCCTTTAATGGCAGTGTGAATGTGGAGATGAACCAGCAGATGTTTGTGGAAGCTCGTGTTAAGGGGGCTGACAGCCGTCAGTTTGCCACAGTGATTGACACGTGTTGGGCGACACCTGAGAACAATCCTCATCACTCCGTCCGCTGGGACCTCATCAGTGGAGAGTAAGACTTTTCTTGTGTTTTAATCAGCGCAAAAAGTCTTAAAAAAAAGAAAAGATTTATAGGACATTATTATCACTTTTGCGGGACAAATTTTCTGAAAGCACCACTTTCATGCCACCATGAATTTGATCCCAATTAATTACTGATTTTTAGTCTGCACGCTTTTGTTGGACACTTGAAAAATGTAAATTGTTTCTGTGTTTTTGTTGACATTATTTTATACAGTTTCAGGTTCCTTTATTCTTTACATATTATAATTAAAGACTGATATTCTCAGGTGTCCCAATCCAAATGACGACACGGTTGAGCTTCTGCAGAATGGAGTCTCCACGTCCAGCCGGTTCTCCTTCAGGATGTTCGTCTTCACTGCAAACGCCCCGAAGGTCTTCCTGCACTGTACGGTTCACCTCTGCCTTCTGGCAGGGAATCACTGCTCAACTGTGAGTTTACAAAACCTCTCAAAACTCATTCTGTTCTGATGTTTTCTTTACAACATTATTGGAGTATTAATATTTTCTTAAAAGGGAAATATACAAATCAAGAAAAAGACACGTATAAACACACCACGGGCCTTCTAAATACTTTCCTTAATTTGATTGTTTTTGATAAATTTGTCTTGGGCTATCGAGAGAGCAGGGCAACGCACAACAGTCCACCATACATTTACACTTTATCAAAAAGCTTGATTTCTCTGCTTAATACAATGTTTAATCTCAGGCATAATATATATATATATATTTTTTTTAATACTTTTTTAAATACTATCAATATTATTATCATCTTGATAAAAAAAACTCGCAATTTGTGTCCAGAAAGCGACCACTCAACTCTTCCTTTATTACTGTGCTCTTAAGACCGGTGTACTCTTGCTGAAGGCAGACCAATAAGTAGGGATTAACTAGATGGTATTATGGCCCGAGTTAGAAAGAGAGGTCTAACCTTAGCAACATATGCTTCTTTGATATCACTATAGCATCTGTCCAATATATTGTTTTACTGTGTACCATAGCAAACATATTGGTAAAGCCCTGGTAGAGCATAGTCCATCTTACAATGATTCAAATCTCCTAATACAAATACTCCTAATTTGCACATCAGGTTTGTTTTGCAATTGCTGATGGACACAATCAGCTCTCCGTAAAGTAGCTTTAGATGGGCAGTGCAGATGATAATATTTCCATAGTCTCTGCGTAAAAAAAGGGTCTTAAACTTGTACATATGAGTTCAAGATCTGGAGAACAGTAGTTTCTACATCAAGAGTCTTTAATAAAAACACAAATACCGCCCCCCCTCGTTTTCCCTGAGTTGTTATTTCTGTCCATGCAAACTTTGAAGAAGCACATCAACAATGAATCCTGGAAATCTCCTTGGAGCCAGCTCTCTGTGTGAATCAGGAGACATGACTTGCGATATTTAGATCAGACTCTTGCATTCAGACGCAACTCGTCCATCTTGTTCATGAGGGTGTGAAGAGTACTGATGGCAGAGGTAGCTTGTCATGCTTTCAGCGAAGGCGATGTTGATGTTCCATGGCCGACGGTCTCTATCATTCTACTCTGGAACATTATCCAGCAGGCTGGGCTCTGGCACTGCTGTTTTCCATACAAAGTTGTTTTCGTCAACGATGACGATAACGAAATTATTTCGTTGACGCACTTTTTTTTATGAGATAACGCGACGATGACTAGCAAAAAATGGTCTCTAAGGTGACTAAAACATGACAAGACATTTTAGAGTTTTCGTTGACGAGACGAGACAGAACGTAAATGTAAAAGTCTGACGTTCACAATGCATGTCATTTCTGCCAATTTTGCGTGAAATCTGTCTGTTTTGAGCTTATCAGCAATGCTGCCGCTTCCTATCCTTGTTTTGGGTATGCCAACCACCCGGCTGCCGCCATGCCGCGCACCAGATTCCACACAACAACAACACACCTGTTGACAACACACCAGGTTTCTGCCCATTGCGACAATGAAGTACAGCTTGGCAGCACTGCATCTCCATCAATGAGAAAGTCTAGTTTATTATGCAAAGGTTTTAAGGTTAACCCTCTGGGGTCTGAGGTGTTTTCGGGGTCCTTGAGATGTTTTGGCATGCTCTGACATTTCTGCTTTTTTCAGTTGCTTATAAACATATTAATGGCACAGGTGAAATTACACTCTATATAGCACACACTGGGCTACCATAATATGTGAGCAACATGTATGTACATGTTTGTATTTTTGAGAGAATATTGTTTATGCGTGGTTATTGAAAAAACTAAAAACTAAAGTTTCTAATATAAGGCCACAAATAACATACTAAATATTTGTCCACAAGACTTTTGACTAATGGATGTTGTCGCCTAGAGTTTTTGCTTCAAATTGATCTGAAAATCATTCTGTCTAATCATTCACATAAAACAATAGATTGTTTTAAATTGTGAAAAACATTTTTTTTGTTTGCAAAGGCAATATGCGGATGGGCGGAACGGCCCAACCCCCTCATGAATAATTAGGCAGTTCTCACCTGAGCAGACTGTATACTAATGAGCCTTTCATTCAGGGGTGTCACACAAGAAAGAATGCAAGGACAATATATATATAAATAAATAAATATTTATACACACACACACACACACACACATATATATATATATATATATATATATATATATATATATACAAACAATCAAAATATAAATGAAAGCCAAAAGCACATTTTTAGTCACACCTTTTAGCCATCCACATACCATTTTTAGCCATCCACCGCGGTAAAAATAAACCAGTCGCATTTCAAAGTCGTTCGCGAAATGACCGCCAGGTGGCGCAAAGGGACATTTAGCAAAACGTAAGTGGGGCTAATGTCTGTAACCTATGGATGAAATACTACAAGTTATGGTAATTTCCAAATAAGCCTACAACAAACATTTATAGCCTACTCGTAATTGTTGGTCATACAGATAAGATATAATCTTTTAAAACTGTAAAAGGCTAAAGTATAGGCCTACACTCACAGGCTAAAGACAAAACGTTTTCTCGCTCATGTGAGAAACCGACGTTTGGGTATTTCTCAGTGAGAAAATTCATAGCCGAGCGGTAGAACTTACGGTTCATCATCAAGATGACACGGGTTCAAATCCCGCACAAACATGGTATGTTGTAATTTTTATATTTATTTAGATTTGTCTAGCTCTGAAACTCTGTTACACCATACAGTTTTTTTGCTTATATTTATAAAATACAATTATCATGCATTTCCATTTTACACTACAAAATAGTATCCAACAGAACGACTTTGCATGTAAAAAATAAATTATATATAGCCTATATATATATATATATATATATATATATTATATATTTTTTTTTCAGGGCTGCCAACTCTCATGCAATTGACCCAAATCTCAGGCTCTCACGCCACACCCCCGATTTCTCACGCTGAAGTGTCAACCCGGTCGGTCAAATTCCTAAAAGATATAGTTTTATCTATAGATCTACCTGTTGAGCCACTCGTGATCGACTAGCTATACCGCAAATTATTTTAAATATCCCGTAGGCCTAATCTATCTAGAGCATGCGAGACAGATATTGTGCTCCAAACCATGCGCCCGCATGGCAGAGAGGTCTGTTCCCTACAACCTAGAGTTTTTAAAAACATGATTTTAAGTAAAGTGTGATTTGCCAGGGGGGACTGGGATTTCCTTCTGGTCTAAACATCCCTGCTTCTGCTGAATTATTTTAATCCCCACACCCCTACCTCCACAGCTAATCAAGCTATAGGCTACTTCACCAATATCAAATATATAAAATAGAGATATGCAACAGGCACGTTTAAACGACAAACAATAAAATCAAAACCAGCGTTTCAGTTGTTCATTAGTTCCAGTGGCCTTAATGCATGCACGGCTTTTCAAAAATTCACAAAGCGTGTTGAGATTATTTTGAATGAAATATTGAAGTTTATAATTCAGTGTTTTGGCACACCACACCGAGTGGCCCTATGCATTTTTCTAAAGTCGGGTTTTATTCTGGCATGGTGAGTTAGTGTTCGACAAACGCGGCGACGCGTTCATTTAGATTAATTTATTTTTCTCATTATTACAGCTAAAATAACTTAGTAGGCGACTCCGTAATTTTTTGGTCATACAGATAAGAGTAGAGTAGCTTACATCGTTCAAAACTGTAAACTTGTATTCATATTAGGCTAACGACAAAAACAGTATATCTGTCGTCTCTGTCTCCGGGAACTGCGCGTCACAAAAATGAACCGAAAGCCACTTCAGCTCAGTCACGATAAGAAATCGGCTATGTCTAAAGCCTTTAAATGTCTAAATATTTAGGCTAATAAATGTTATCTGATTATGTAGGCTAATCCATATGAAAACGAGAGGTACAGAGGATCTCAAACATATAATGTAAGCGCTTCCCAATGAGAAAATGACTAGACAAGGGTGAAAATCTCGCTCTAATTAAATGTAGGCTAAATCGCCCTGAATTAAAATGTAAAAACAGATCAAATAATGTATTTGTCGAAATGTTGCGATATTGTTTCATTTAAGTTCATAATTATTCTATAAATGTTATTTAATTTAGCAGCATTACCACGAAGCACCGTGTTTCGATATTTATTTGAATAATACAAAAAATAAAAACTTAATTCACAAATTGCATGCCTGGTTGTAAGGATCCAAAGATCCCTGTAGACTTTAATATTGAGTTGAACATTTTGTTCATGACAACAAATTAACATGCGTTTTTTCAGATTATATTTAGTTTTGCTTGGAAAAAGCTGGCCCAAACCAGTTTTATTTCATCAATTATTGAAATAATGAAATATTTAGTAATAAACTTTTATGACAGAAATATCACTAGGCTACATGTAACTTAAATCATTTAGTTCCTTCATTATCAACACTGTCTAGAATAGCGATTTAAGTGTGAATTGCGACTTCTCTTTGTGTTAAGTCAGCCTCAGACTCCGATAGCCTGTGGGGGGTTGGAGGGACAGTTGCTGGACAAAGGTGTTAATGTTCCTCTTTCATATGGAGAGTGTCGGATAGCCAGCCTGATGAGCAGGCAAAATTATTGTAAGGATAAATCTGTGTCCAAATGTAGGCCCCATATCTTATTAAATTATAAATATTGTAGTTTATTTATTGTAGACTATTTAAAGTTTTTTTCACACAAAATTTCAATTGAAGTTATTGTAAGGTGAATTCAACAAGGCATGCTGTGTCTTTGAAGCAACAATTAAAGGCTAAATAATATTTTCGTGATTTGTATGCCTGACACGCAGCGACATATACAGTATTATCAGCTGTATGATGTGTTTTTACCCTGAAATGTTTAATTTCGAGAGAGACCCGTCGCGCGCGAGGGAGACTAAATAAACTTGTTAAAAAGAGATCCAGCGCGAGAGAGGCAAAGAGAAACACATGTTTTTAATTTAATTATGTTTCTTTGGACAATTTTCGTTTTGTACTGTTTTAATTGTTTAA